TTATAAATATTTTTTTCTTCATTCGCGAATAATTATTATTATTATTATCATCATGCGTGGAATGAAAGGAGTCGTTTACGTGGGTTTAAGAAACAAATAAAAATTTTCTTTTTTTTTTATTACAGGTAATAACAATCACCATAAGCGTTAGCAAATGTGAAAATGATATAAATTCAACGAGAATCAGTGACGTCACAGAAGAAAATAATAAAACAAACAATTCGACAAACGTATCGATAAATTGGACAAACGACGACTATGATTTTTTCAGTGAAAAAAGTGAAAATTTAAACGATTTAAATTTCGAATACGATGATGATGATGATCTTGGTGATGATGATGATGTTGATGACGTAAACGGAGGAGGGAAAATCTCACAAACCAAAATAAAAGAATCAGGTATAAACAAATTGTTATATACGATTATTGATTTGTTTTATAAAAAAATTGTTTTTTAAACAGAATTTGCAGAAAAACAAATGCAAGATGCTTTGCTTAAAGCAATGAATAAACCAATGATAAGAAAACAAATAGCAGAAGTTATACCGATATTAAGAGTTATGTCACCTGCACAAAGACTAACACTTGCAGCTTTGGTATCATCTCAAATAATGTCTCAAAAACCATCGAGTAAGTAATTAATAATTAATTAATTACATTTTGTGTTTGCTTTGTTTTGTTGTTTTAATTGTTACAAACAAACAAAAAAAAAAAGTTTTTAGTTTAATTAAAATGGTTTTAACATTAAAGAAACTCGAGATGATAACAATTTAACGAGTTTTATCATAACAACAAAAATTTTTATTGACGTGTAACAATACAAAAACTTTAGTTACACGTCGAAAGTTTTAATGACACGACAACAACAACAACGACGACGAATCATGTTCCGTAATAATTACTCATTACTTTCTTTACGGTGAAACCTTCGATAACAAAAAAAAAAAAAAAAAAAAAAAACTACGAGACCGAATTGTATTTACGATTTCTATACTTTAAAAAAAAAACGACTATGATGATAATAATAATAATAAAAAATTATTCGTTAACAGGTGAAACGAATTTATCAGAAATTGCGACAATGTTTGCTGGAAAAAATTCAGACAATGAAAACAATCGTAAAAATGTAACGGAATATTTATTATTACCCATAAGCGTTGACATAGCTAAAATGTTTAGAGGATTGGGTAAGAAAAAAAATTTTTTTTTTTATTTTATGCGCCTGGAACGACATCTGGAATTAATAACAATAATAATTTTTTTTTTTTTTTAATTTAACGAACAGGTAGAGAAGTTGGAAGAAATTTAAAAGAAAATATTTATAAAGCACATGAAACGAATAATGAAAATACGAGAAGATTTAAAAGAAGACATCCGTCAAAACCAAATAATAATAATAATAATAAATCTTTTCATTCGCATGTTTCATCTCAATCTTTACCTTCTCCATCATCTCCACCTCCATCCTTATCTTCAATTTCTCCGAAATCTATTTATTCTACAACTGTATCGAATCGAAGAAAAGATGGTAAGACAATGAATGATTTAAATTTCACTTTAAAATTAAAATTTTTTTTTTTTTTGAACGTGAATAATAAATTAATTGGAAACATTGTTTCGGTTAATTTCCCGTTTACCAGTTTTTTAAACTTTAAGTGAAATTTTTTTTTTCTATTTCTATATCGATTTACTAATACAATTAACAATAATAATAATTTTATTAATTTTTTTTGCGAGATGTCGAATATTACGTTTACGAAGAAGAAAATTCATCATCATCATCATCTGGAATTTATGAACCTTCTGGAGATATAAATAAACAACCCGGAAACGAAGAATGTGATTTTTTCACAAAAAGTTTATGTCTCGAAGTTTCTAATTATCCGACGTGAGTAAAAAAAAATTTTTTTTTCGGTTAATTTTGCTAATATTTTTATAAAGTCATTTATTATTATTATTATTATTATTATTAAGTAAGTTCATGTTTTTTTTTAACAAACGGGTTTGACTACGTATTCGTTTGTTTTGTTGTAACTGTATTTTTTTGTTTGTATTCGTCAAAATAAATTATTATTTTTGTTGATTTTCTTTTGTTTCGATGTTTTTTTTTTTTAATAATAAAAGATAATAGTTATTATTATTATTATGACTGTAGTTTGATGAGATTAGATTTGGATAGGTTAGGTTTAGGACCACATAATTTAATGATGTCCTAACGGAAGAGGTTATCAAAGAATAACGTAATTACACCCAATGACGTCAGCAAACAACTCTGTTCCAGCAAATAAAAAAACTCCATTATTAAAAATAAAAAATGACGAAATTAATTTTCAGTGAAGCCATTATATCAAGTTTGAAAAAAAATTTAGACATAGCAAAAACTTTTCTCGCTGATTTTTCCATACCTTCGGGAAAAGATGAATCGAATCCGAATAAAATAAGTCGGTTAACAGGTCGACGTTTGGAAGTATCGGAAAGGTTTGTTTTTTTTTTTTATCCGTGAGGTTATTCCTCCTTCCCTTACATTTAAAAAAAAAGGGTAAAATAATGACCCGGATACAAATTCCAGGAGGCAGGATGATAAAAATGATATCAGTACCGGAATCGAAGGAGGTTACATGTGTCCATCATCGGTGAAATTTGCAAGGCCAAAAAGAGCAAGAACAACAGCCGGTAACTGGAAATATATCGTAAATACTGGAGATTACACGCAAACACTTCGTCTGGAAATATGCATGTACGTATTAATAACTGCATATCTTAAAAATTTAAGAAGCAAGAAAAAAAAATTTATTTTTAATAAAAAAAAATTACAGGAAACCTAAAACCCCTTGTTCTTTTGTCACGAATCATTTATCATCAGAATGTGCTCAGGTATTTAATTACCACAGATTATTAACGTGGGATGAAAGCAAAGGACTTCACATGGATGTCTTTAAGGTTTGTTTTATTCCGAAATTCATCAACATCCTTTTTTAAGAAAAATCGTTTAAAAAAAAAAAAAAAAATTTATTTTTCAGGTACCCAGTTGTTGTTCTTGTCACATACAAGGCTATACTAATTTTTATCCACCGAATGACGAATATGCATATGCCGAAAAAAGAAAAGAACCGCAACCAACATCGGAATATCCCGTAGTCATAGTACAAGAAACATCGGAATATAAAGTAAAATATTTTTAAAAATTGACAAAATTACGAGATTAAATTTGTTTGTTTGTTTGTTTGCTAAAAAAAAATATAATTATAGGACGTTGTAAACAACAGAGAAACGCCAATACCGATACCACTTGGTGGTATAGATAATACCAATGAAAAACCTCAAGTGTTTTACACGGCAAATATAATGAATGAAAATTTACCGGAACATTTAGTACCGCCAGGTCCTCCTCTACCACTAGAAAATGAGTAAGTTAAGAAAACAAAATAATAAAATTTAACGTGTCGAAAATTTTTCGAAAAAATTTTATTAATTATTATTATTATTTTATTTAAAAGAAAATACATTCAACCGCAAGAATCGAGATATTACCATAAAAAGGGCCCTTTAGAACATAATACGAGGCATTCAGTTCCCGTTGAAAGCACAAGGAATAAAATAACACAAGAACAAATAGGTATTATAAATCCTTCAATAAATTTACCTCCTTCATTATCTCAAACCCGATATAAACATCCTCCTCCTCCTCCTACTCATCCCCATCCTCAGCCTCAGCCTCAGCTTCATCCTCAACCTCATCCTCATTCTCCTCAACTTCTTCCCACAACAGTTTTACAACAAAGGCCAAATTTAATAATACCTCAAATTCATCATTCATCATCGTCATCATCACCACTACTTTCTCCGTCTGAATTCGAATCTAAAAAACAAAGTCAAACGGCAACCCGTTACGTTTTACCATTGATAAACGTTCAGCAACAACAACAACAATCGATCGGACATTACAACGATTATAAAAAAATAAAACCTGTGATCGAAACTGGAATTTATTCAAATCCAAATAACGATTTATTACTTCAAAGCGCGAGCATTAAATATAATTCGAGAACTCCTTTGCAACAATATTACAACAATCGAAAGTACAACGATAACAAATCATTATCCAGCAGAATAAATCCGATATACGCAACACCACCAAAAATAAGAGAAAAAGAAATTAAAAAGAAAATGGCGGCGGCGGCAGTGACGTCAACAACAACAACAACGACGACAGCGTCACCTAAAGTCATAGAGACAATATCATCGTCGGGTCATAAAATTAATTATAATTATCATCCGATAATTGATTTTTTCAAAACGGAAACGAATAAAAAAAAAACAAAAATTTATCATAACTCATCCAATTTCCGTTTATCCTCACCTCAAGACTGGACTCCAGTATTGAATCAACAAACATCTTAAACATTTTTTTACAAAAAAAAATTAAATTATTTATTTATTATTATTATTATTATTATTATTATTATTATTATTATTATTATTATTTGTAAATAAAAAAATTATGAAATTTAATTTTCATAACATAACATAAAAAAACTTTTTTACGTAAAAGTAAACCGCATAAAGTTCCAGAATTGTTTATAATTATTTATTTATAATTTTTTTTTTTTATGTATATATGTATACATAAAAACTTATTTAATTTATTTAAATTGTTTTTTTATAATAAACGAATTTTAAATTTTTTTTTTTTTTGAAATTTTTTTTATTCACTTCCGGTTTAGAAATCGATGAACGTTGGAAAGTTTTTGTTTTTCCTCGCGTTGAAAAGTCACGTTTCACATTTCGTAAAACTTCTAGCTCTTAAATTATTGTTAATTTTCTGATGGAGAATGGGATGAGGGGGGGAAGAGAATTCATTGGAAAGGAACCCGAGAAAGAGAGAGAAAGGGGGGAAGAGTGGGGGAAGAGGGAGAAAAAAAATTTCATCACAAATATTAAAAATTGATAGTAAAAAAAAAAAATATTAAACGTAATTTTTTTTTTTTTTTTTTCATTTTTTCCCAAAGGTAAAATTTTGTGGTTTATTTTAATGGGGGGGGCCACCACCCCCACCATTAATCCTTTCACATTTTGATTCTTTATAAATTTTGCAATTCAACAACCAAAAAAAAAAAAAAACACCTTTTATTACAACAACAACAACAATAACAACCAAAAAAAGAAAGAAAAAGAAATGTTGTGTTGCGGTTAAACGTGTGACGCCCTTGTCAAGTCGAAAAAATTTTCCATTTTTTCGAAATAAACTAAGTCACGTGACAAAATAAACTTTTTTTGTTTTCGTCCCCGAAAAAAAAATATCAGTAATAATAATAATAATAATAATAATGTAATAAAGTTTAAAAATTTAAAAAAAAAAAAAAACGTCATTTTCCGATTGAAAATTTTTTTGATGTTTGACATTTTAGAAAGAAATCAATCGTAAAAATTTTTTTTGCTATTATTCACAATTGCTGCTTCTTTTTTTATAAATTTTCTAACAAAATGGTGGCAGCTATAAAAAAACAGAATTTTTCTTGTTTCTCTCTCTCTCTCTTTCTCATTTCATTACGTAATAAAAAAGAAAAAAAAGTTTGGATAGTAAAACAAACAAACAAAAATATAAGTTTTGCGAAAAATTTTATAATTTTTATACGTACAGCAAAAACTTTTGCAAATTTAAAGAAGAGAAGGGGGGAGGAAATGACGTAAAATTTTTTGGCGCGAAAAAAAAAATTTTAAATGTTTAATTACGCGTTAATATCACTTTTACTTTTATTTAAGGAAAATTTGAAAGAAAATTTGATTGGTATGGTAAATAAATTTTTTAACGACAGCAAACGACAATGAATCACAAATAAAATGATGATGATAATGATGATGATGATGATAATGATGATGATGATGATATTTTTTTCTAAAAAGTAAATACTTTCCCGAGTTGTTGTTGTTGTTTTCACACACTACAGGCAATTTTTTTTTTTTTTTTTTAAATTTGTCATAAAACAACCGCAAACAATTAAACCATTGGTTACAAACATGTAAACAACCAGTAAAAAAAAAAAATTTTTTTAAAATTTTGCAACCATTGAACCGTTACACTTTATTATTTATCACAAATTTTTAATTTCTTTTAGTTTCGAGAGTGAAATAAAGAAACGCACGAGTTTCTTTTTCTTTTTTTTTTTGTCGCGCTATACAAACGTGAAAAAAAATAAAAAAATTTTCTTTTTTTTTTGTTTGTTTGTTTGTTTGTTCGGTTGTTATTGTTTTTAAATGATTTCGAAATTTTTTTTAAAAAAACACATACGATAAGTAAAAAAAAAAAAAAAATCGATATGAATAATTTTATTTTTAATTTTTTTATTTTTTTGACTTTTACCGATTTTTGCTGTGGTTCAATCGCTTTCAAAAGCAAAATTCATTCGATAACGAATTCAAAACAACTTAATTATTACACACGTTCACAAACATCCGATTTAAAACCTTTTCCGATATTTCAGACCGGAAATGATGATGATAATGATAATAATAACGATGATATTGATAATACCAGTAAAATATTTTCCACGAGTAAGTCTATTGATTTTTTCCATTTTATTTTTCTTCTCTTTTTTTTCTCACTCTCTCTCTCAGGGGGTGGAGGGATGAAGGAGGAGAGGAGGAGGAAGGAGGGAGATGGAGGAAGACGGTTCGGACGTTTTATTAATTAATAAAAAATTATTACCTTTCGTTTTAAGTTTTTCCCATTTTTATTTATTATTTAATTTTCAGAGGGGTGTTTTAATTAATTTTTGTTTGAATTTACTTTTTCCCTTTTTAAACGATAAATTAAAATCCATAGAAATTATAAAAAAATAGGGGCCGGAAATCGATTTTCCTTCCGTTTTGTCAAGACGAAAAAAAAAAAAAAACAAATTTTCATTATTATTATTATTATTATTATTATTATTACATCATTCCCAGATACGATTTGTAATTAAATGTGGTTTCGGTCCTTGTTTAAGTAAAAAAAAAAAAAAAAAAAAAAAAATCTCCGACATATTTTTTATATTACACACACTTTACCACATTTGGCAATCTCGCAACAACAACAAAAAAATTTTTTTTTTAAATTTAACCTTTTTCCTTCTCTCTCTCTCTCTTTTACAATTTACCTATCTATCTTTCTATCTCTCTTACTCTCTTTTAAAATAAACTTTTCTAATATTAAACAATTAAAATTATTTAATTCTTTTACTTTTACGGTTCAAGGATTTTCTTTTTTTATCGGGGGGGGGGGAATGAGGGGGACGAGGGGAGGGATTTTTTTTTTTTAATTGTTCAATAATTACATTTCTTGCCAAAATCAAAAAAATAATTAATTAGTCACGTGTTATAATACGTAACGTGTCACAATAATGATAATAATAATCCGTTTTGTAATTAATAATAATAAGAAAGCGTTAAAAAAAAAATTAATACCACGTGACACGTTCAAAAATTTTTTTTTTTTAATCGTTTCCAGTTTTTTTGTTTTTTTGATAAGTGATAAATACCTAATTATTATTATTATTATTATTATTTTCATACGGAAAAAAAATTAATCGTTCGCGGTGATCATTTTAACAGAAAAAAAATAATTAAATAAATTGTCACCTTTCCAAAAAAAAAAAAAATACCGTAACGATTACTTTTTAATTTAAAAATAAATAATAATAATAATAATAATAATAATAATTTTTCGGGTAAGTTTTATTACTATTACTATTACAGGGGGGGGCGTGAGTGAGTAATTATCCAATTCGTTTATTTTTTTGACCCAAATACCAAACGTTTAAAAATTTTTACTTATTTCACTTTCCGTTTCAATTTCTTTTTTTTTTTTTTAACAATGATAATGATGATGATAATAATAATAATAATAATAATAATAATAATGATAATGTTAAATTTATATTTTCAGGTGAATCGAACGTCGTTGATGATGATAAAGTAAAAAGTTACGAATATTTTATATTTGAAAATGACGATAATGATGTCAATGAAAAATTTATGAAGAAATTTTCAACGTATCCGAACGTGTTAAAAGTTATGAAAAAATCATTTCAGGTAAAATAAATTAGTCGAAAACAAACAAACAAACAAACACACGCACACATACGTACGTGTTAATAATAATAATAATATTAATTTAAGGTTTCGCGAATCGGAAAAAGGAGAATGATGGAAAATGAAAATGGTGAAAATCACATTCGAAAATTAAATAAAATTAAAAATGATAATAATAATAATAATGATATTCCGAGTGAAATTTTACCACTTGAATTAACACTCGGAGACGGTAAATTTCCAGAAAACAAACAAACCACGATGATGATAATGATGATGAATTCGGAGAAAAATAATAATTTCGTTAGAGGAAAATTTTTCGTACCGGAAAAAGTTGAAATTGTTAAATTTTTAAATTATCCCGATGATAAAAAAAATAATTTATTTGTTTTAAATAAAAAATCAAAAAGGGGTTACGATGATAATAATAATAATAATAATAAAAACCGTACAAATGAAACAAGAAAACGTTTTTTTAAAAAATTATCCAATAAAGAAAAAAAAGAAGGAAAATTTTTTTTTGAATTTCGTGATTTTTATTCAATCGGAAAATATTTTCCCGAGAAAAATCAATATATCGATAATGAATCGATATTTGAATTGACAAAACCATTTAATAATTATTTAATCCGAAACGTAAATTACGATAAGGATAATAAAAATATAAAAATAATTAATTTAATTAATGCGGATTATCCGCATTCTAAAACCACGACATTAAATTCTTTTTTTAAAAATATTCTTGACAGATACCACGTTAAAACATCGCATTACGATAATGATTATATAGATATTGAAAATAAATTAGAAAAGAAGAAAATAATAATAATAATAAATCGTCGTAAAGAAAACAAAATGGCGGATATTGTAAAAGAATTTCAATTTCCGAAAAATAACAACAACAACAACATCGTCGAAAATGATTTTTATTTACTTCAACTCATTAATGATAATTCAAAGAAAAGAACCGGTAATAAAAAACATCACTACGGAAACGTCATTGTTTTGTTTATGACGTCACAAAACCGTCAAAAAAATTTTCCGAATGAAAATTCGTACGATGAAAACGAATTCGTAGAAATTATTAAAAATTATCAAATGGATTCGATTATCCCAATTAAAAATATTCGATATTTTATAATAAAAAATTCGAATTCGAAAGTGAAAGGAAAAGGTATTATTATTATTATTATTTTTACTAATAAAAGTTTTGAAAATTTCTTTATAAAAGAAGAAGAAGAAGAAAAAGAAAAAAATTTTAACGAAAATAAATCAATGGCGGTGGGAAAAATACAAAGAAACAAAAGATCAGCTGCCGAATCAGAAGCTGA